GTTTCTGCTGCTTCTCCTTGATAGGAAGCTCAACTTGCTTCTGTTTCAAGTCTGCCTGAACTTGTATGTGATTGTTCTGATTGATTATTGGTTCCTGTTGGTAGTTATGTCCAACTTGAAGGCAAATGTGAAAGTATAATGGTTTCCAATCATACTCAATTGGTTGACTGAACATCTTTCCATCTGGGTCCTACACTTCGAAACTTGCTGGCAAATCCTTTGTGACATCCATTTCCACTAGGATCCTAGTATATGATATGCGATTCGCCCCTGACGTATAAGCATCAGTGAACAGAGGTCTACCCAGTCCACTTCCTATTCTACTAAGTGCCTTCTAAGCAATTTAAAGGTAGGTTAGGTAGTTAAACCCACAAGGGAATGGTATGCAGAACTTCATCTCCTAGGTTAAATTCAGGTGACCATGGTTTAACAATTACAGCATAAGGCCTTGAGTACAAAACTGCATCCCTATCTTCTAGATTAGCAAACCGGATGACAAAGTAATCGGCTTTGTGATATACCTTTGATTTTGCAGCAAAGTTCAAGTTCATTGCAATGAATCTTCCCACAACTCCAATTGACGGAGATTTGCCCAACTCATATAGGATCAGCGCCCCATTCCATGTCTCTTGTTCTTCCGCGAGCTCTTCCTTTTGCAATTGGACTACCGTTCCCCATCAATCATCACTGGTGGAATGTATGTTAAGCTCATTCCCTTCACTGCCAATTTGTTACCAGTTAGGAGATTCGCCCATGTTTCCCCTCTAATTTTAGCGAACTATTCGGAGGGTTGATAGTGTCCGCTTTTTGATTTTCAATAGCCTCTGATTTTTCCACCACCGTCGCTTTGAGCTCCCCCACCCCCCTCCCATTCATAGGGTTCTCCCCACATTGAGATCTAGTTGGGATTCCTCCGCCGGACTGGCTAGGCACAATAGTCGATATGCTTCATACTACGGGACTCTGATATAGTGTTTTCAATGGTTGACTTGATGGATTTTCCCCCATAGGGCTCAACTTGGGGGTTTTGACTGCCGGTACCATCATCAGAGAGACTATATTAGCCACTAATCGTAGCTTGTCTGTCGTCTGGTTCTTATTTCCATTTCGTGCTGGCCTTCCTGTTGTAATTTTCGATCGTCGGTGTCGGTAGTACACCTTATCTGACGCTAGAGAGAGAAAGCTAGAGAGAAGCTAGAGAAAATTAACTTCTTGTTATTCCTCTTGCTATTTATGCTATATTTACTCTACGTATTTGTTATGTTATTCATCAAAGTCTACCAGGTTGTGTATGATTTTGCTTTTCAGGAATTTCTCTACCAGAGTAGAGTTTATGCTATATTTACTATATATATCTCTTAAGTTGTTCATCGAAGTTTACCCGATTGACATAATTTTTGTATGTTGTTTTAACAAAGTATTTTTCGAATTTGCTGCTTCAAGTTCGATTAAGCCATCTCAAGTTTGCTCTAAATGATTTCAAATTTCAAACTGAGCTTTCAAATAGTAACACAAACAATCTCCAATCGCCAATTTAGTCAAACAATATCAAATCAAAAAGACCCATTTTGTCTTCTTCAATATTTTATAAGGTCCAAGAATGGAACTTTGAGCTTTTTAAAGTAAATCATTAAATCGTTGTTTGAATATAAGCATGAATTATGAACTTTCAAATGATTTTAATAAATAATGGATCATTAACCTTCTACTTTTCACCATCAAACAAGAACTTTAAGCTTTAAATATTAAAAATTATGACGTTCAAGTAAAAAATAGAGATATTTTACTAAGTAAAAAACATAAATATTCCACCAAAACTAATCCCGTTGGGATACATGCCGTTCAATTTTTTGCTGGTCATATGAAACAGAAAAAAGAAAAAGTGGGTTGCAGCTAAATCAAATTGCTCCATATTCCTTCCCTCGAATTTTAAAAAAAAGAAGGAAAAAAGGAAATTATAATAATTCTATCCTGAAAGTAAAAACCCCTTATCCCCAGCAAGGTAGCAACAGAACATCAGAAAGGATGATGAGCCTCTCCATAGCCTCGCCTTCTGGTGCTACCTTCACTCCGAAAATTAACCTCTCCAAGTCCTCCTTCCATGGCATTCGAATTGCTCAAGCCTCTCCGGTGCGTGCACCAAGCGCGTCCGCAATCAGGACCACTCACTCTTGTTCGTCTTTGGTGGTGAAAATGGCAAAGAGGGAAGAGGAATTGAAGGAAATTAGAACCAAAAGTACTGAAGAGCTTCAGGAAGAGATTGTAGACCTCAAAGGAGAGCTATTCATGCTTCGTCTTCAGAGGTCGGCGAGAAATGAGTTTAAGTCCAGCGAGTTTCTTCGAATGCGCAAAAGGGTACTCTCCACGTTTCTCTAATTTTGCTATATATTTAATTTTTATTTCCGCCTTTCTGTGTAGTACTTATTATTTAGGTGTATATCTGAGTGAAACCTGAATCAAATTTTAAATAAATCAGTTCAAAGATTTGGACATACATTTGCTTTGTGTCTTACAGCAAGTACTGAAAATAGCTGGGGGACATAATATTTGCCTATGATTAAGCAAAGACGAGTAAGTGTCACTGGTAAAATTCTACTGCAAAAATAGGGAATAGTTCTTGGATATGGATTTCTATACTGGTGCCTAATCAATGCCGTAAGTAACTTATTCTGTCTATAATTCACTATAATGATTTAGCTCAAAATTCTTTGGTCTACATTTGCCCACATGGCTTTGGTGTAATAGTAAGAGCACAACATGTGAGGTGTGGGTTAGGGGCGCGTTACGGGTTCGAACCCTTGCTACAAACAAAAACCTGGTATTTAAGTGGAGAAGGGTAGAGGTTTCGAACCGTGCTCCACTCTCCCTCGAGGATTTCTCGGTTTTAAAAAGTGTTCTTTGGATGACATTTACAGGATTTGGAGTCTTAAGGCTACGAGCATTTTAGACAATTAACTCGGTGAAGTAGAGCTTCACAAGCTGCTTGTGTTTGGTCTAGAGATAGTGCTAAAAATTTCTGACTGATAGTTGCATTGTGGCATTAGACTACCTCCTAGGGGAAACAATTACTCATCTGTTTGTGTTTGCTTAAGCTATTCTAAGAAACTTAGTTGGCTGTTGATGTTCCTATAAATTTCACAATGTTATGAAACCGCTGCATCTTGTAGTGTAGTCTTAATTTAATTTTATTTTTTTGGTAAGTAGCTGTGAGTCTAACTTAAGATGAAAGTAAATTTGAATTCCATCTATTTACTCAATACAATTAATTCATAATTTATGTGAGACAACAACAGAATTTTCTATCTCAACAGATTCATTCAGCCAGAGCAGATGGCCACAATCAGTAGCTTAACCAGCTTAAGGGGGTTTCAATGTTGTTCAAAAACTTGTCTTAAATGTTTGTACCAATATGTATTATGCGTTATTTCCTATTCTTTTTTGACATTACTCATGAATGTATAATCATGTTCGTTTTCCCATTTCCTGTACTTTAGAAATTGCAGGTTACTTTTCTTCATAGATTTACTTCTTGGTCTGATTTTCTTCACTTTGATGTGGGTTTACACAATTTTTTAGATTGCTAGGATGCTTACGGTTAAACGGGAGAGAGAGCTTGAAGAAGGGATTAACAAGAGGATATCCAGGAAGCTTGACCGGAAATGGAAGAAAAGCATTGTCCCTAGACCACCTCCCTCTTTGAAGAAGCTACAAGAGGAGGAGGCAGCAGCAGAAGCTAAGGAATCTGCCTGATTTTAAGACACTTAAATCAGCAGGCAAATGTTATATTTTCTTTCTGGATTCTCCTCTTGCTTCCCCGTACATATGGTTTATAACTGCTCCTGAGTTTTTTTATCAAAACCAACTTAAGTTGCGATCATTCTTAGTATGTTCTCAATCACCGAGGATGGTGTCATTTTGCTTTCCGCACCTGAATGGTGAAATCTGTTTATGTTTCTACCAAGTTCTCTTAATTTCATTTTTCTGAAACTCCAATTATGGCTTCCACGAAATATCAGCTAGAAGATTCCTGTAATCTGAACTATTTCACCCTCTGGGGAAGAACAAGTAGCAAAATACAAGGCTGGGCTGAAGAAAACTTCACTTAACTCTAAGCAAAGACAGTCTGGCGAAAAGACTAATATCCGCTCTGTCAAAGTTGATTTAACTTCACTAGAAAGATTATATGTTGGTGGCTAATATGGATGTGTTTCTCACTTTATAAGTAAGAAATAAGTGTTTCAAATAGGGAATAAATGGCAAAGTTGGCTTAAACTTTAGAATTAGAAATATGAAGTAGATTCTAGACCTTATGCTGCTATAGGAAATTGGGCAATAGTTAAAAACTGTTTCTTTGTGGAACTGTTCTTCACTTATGGGAAGGAAATAGTGGTACATCCCTTTATTTAATTTCCTTGATGCATTCGTGCTCAAGTATTGATTTATATTTCTGAAATTGTATAGTTTCTTTTTCTCATATTCTGCTTTAATTATGCAGATAAGATGCTCCATACATAGTTTCTATAGCCTTCTTCATTCCGTTTTAGTTGGATACAGGGTTTTTTCTCCTGGATAGATTGCAACCTAGATATGAATCAAACATGTCAACAGTTAATGCTCCATCAACTGCCCTCCTCTTTCACTCTCTGTTTCGTGCTTCTTCATAACTAAGTTGGCTTAACACTAGTACTGCAATTGCTTTTGTTTAATGCAGATGTCTTTGGGTTATTGAAATATGGAAAACGTAATACTATGCAGATTGTTATGTTGTTTGCTCGGATTGTGGTAACCTGTCCATGGAATATTATCATTTAAAGAAGGTTACCTTTCTATAAAGTCAAATGTCTGACCACAAACCACTAGCACCTGACTATTGGCTCAGAGATGATGTTGGGTTAGGACCATCCATCTTAACAAAGAGGAAAATGGTGGTGGATCTTTCAAATTTGCCTCATTCTTTTCTCAATAATCACCTTCATTCTGAATAATGGATGAGAAATCTCAATGATATAGTAGAATCAATAACATTTAACCAGTCCTAAAAGGACTTATGTGCAACATTGCATAGTTCAAGTAAATGGCTCTGATTTAGACAAAGTGATAATAGAATACAACTCAAGCATCAAGATACAAAAGCATGTATCTACTTCTCGAAAAAGAAGGCACCAAAGTGTGATTCATTCCGGAGTTTTATGTTTAACACAAACTTTGACCTGTTTTACTCAGACAAGTAAAGTGAAAGAAAAAAGATGTCATTCTAGTATTGTGTGTCGGACGAGTCACCAAAAATGCCTCCCAGGATTGAAGATCCCTCATTTCCATCACCATTATTACCACCACCTATGATTCCCTGCATGAAAGTTTGACCAACTTGCTGAGCAGCACCTTCTACAAGTCCTTGAATTGCAGCATTCATCAAACCATTCCCGAAACCATTGTTTGCCCCTGGAGGCTGCATATACTGGTTTGGCCTTACTTGTCCTTGCATTATAGGAGGCTGCTGGAACTGTTGCTGGGGAATTGCACTTGTACTAGCACTATGAAACAACTGGTTTGGCCTCACTTGGCCTACACCCAAAGGAGCCTGCATGTATTGATTTGGCCTTGCTTGTGTACCCAAAGTTGGCTGCTGGAATTGGTTAGTGGCTCCCGGGAATGAATGGTTGTGCTGGAGGGCAGTTGGCTGTGAAGCGGGTGCTTGAACTACCTGTCTAGGGGCAGCAGTTGAACAATCTAAATGAACATCAAACTCACAAGCGGGGCATCTATAAAGCCACTGCTTTCTTCCAATCTTGCGGCATACATCACAAGAGAAGCCTTTGGCACCAGTATAAGGATTTTTGAAGGTGAGTTCCAGCAAGCATTGGTGCAATTGATGTGTGATTTTGAGTGGTCTAGTTGCACAGATCACATGAAGATCAAACTCACAGTTACCACAGTGGTAGCTGAAGCCGTCTCCACGGTGGTTGCAGGCATCACAGTTGAATCGGCCGCCAGGGTACTTGGATGTGGGGAGGAGGTTGAGAGGGTGGTTGGGGTGGGAGGGGTGAGTAATCAGCTGTGGGAATTTGGCACAGCTCAAATGAAGAGTGAAGTTGCTAGGCTTACATATGTACATTTGGCCTAGTGGTGGGAGTCTGCATCCTGAACAAGGGCTTAGATCTTGGAGTCGGATGCATAGCTCTAATTCATGTGGATGACTGAAGTGTCTGAAGCTTGGTGTTGGATCATTGTTCAATTTCACCCTTCCCATCTTCTTGCGCTTTCTTCTTCTTTTTTCCTATTCTCCCTCTTATTATTCTGACTTGGGAGTTTTAAATTTTATAAAATGAAGTTATGAGGGGATGAACTATAGCTAAAGACAGATTGGCTGCTAGTTGACTTTAAAAAATTTGTGATCAAGTCAACGTCCAACACGGTATTTGTCACTGATTAGGATCTGTGGTTATGCAAACAGCGTTGATTGATTCTTCTTTGACTAATTCTTTTAGGCGTTTACTTCTAATTTTCAGTGGGTGTAGGGTAGGGGTGTTCGTCGGTCGGTACGGTACGGTATTTAGACATTTCTGTACAGTATTTTTGGTATTCGGTTTCTTAAAATGCAATACCAATACCGTACCTAATTAAATTCGGTATGGTTCGGTTTTTCTCCTTTCGGTTTCAGTTTATTCGGTTTTGGTAACTTCGGTTTATTCGGTTCGAATACTAACTAGTGCATAGAGTCATAGACCGTAATATTCTAAATTAACGTACTCAAAAGTACAAAACTAAAAACATTTGTTGACAAAAGTTTTGTCCAAAACTAGCAAATACCAACTTAGAGAGAGAAAACTGTACATAAAAGAATAAGTTTGATCATTAGAAATGTCTTGTTACTTGCTTAGAGTTAATTGATGAACTTAGATAATAAAGAAAACTAAAATTTTAGATTTTTATATTTATGTTATAACTAATAATATGTGTAATGTGTAATATAATATATATTTCGGTACGGTATCGGTATTTCGGTATTTCATTTTAAAATACCAAATACCATACCTAATACCAATATTTTTTAAAACTTAAACCAAATACCAAAATATCGAATACCAAATACTAAATTTTTTGGTTTCAGTACGGTAATTCTGTATTTACCAAATTATGCACCGCCCTAGTGTAGGGGATGGTTGGTGGCTCTCTAGCTTCTTCATTAAGAATACGATACATTAAAAGCATGTTTATCCATGCTCAGTTTCAGAAAATGTTATTAGGAGAAAAGAAAAATAATTTGATGGGTTTATGAAAAGGGGATAACGAGGATGTGTTGGCCAATTATATTAACATTCTTATTCTTATCTGGAAATCTTTTGACTTCAGCTGCAATAAATTAGATCTTTCTCTTTCAAATATACTACCACATAACATTAAAACTAAATTGAGTTTGGACCCAGAAACCACCAACAATGTTGTAGAAGTGAGCTGAGGAGCAACTTCATCACAACTTGCTGGAATGTTAAAGCTCAATAGTTTACTATGATACAACTTCTGTAACTGACTTGACCTTTTCTTCATTCATTCAATATTGAAAAATGGATTTCTTGCAAAAGTATTGGAAACTCAAAGTAAAAAAGAAATAAAAAGGAACATTGGTGGGTAGAATTACATGGACCTATATTAGTGGGATATCACACGTATATAATAGAATAGTCAAGGTACGCACGTGGTTTATACCGAAAAAAAAAAGGAAAAGGTGAACCGCATCCAAGGGTATGGTCTAGCGATTAATAAAGCATGTGAAAATCATGAGAGATACTCCACCAAGTTGCTTTTACTTAGGGGTGTTCATAAAAACCGAAAACCGAGCCAAACTGAAAACTAAATCAAACCAATAAAAAAGCGATACTTTTTTTTGATTTGGTTTGGTTTTGAATTTTAAAAAATCGATCAAATTTGATTTGGTTATGGTTTTAATCAAGAACTAACCAAAAACCCCGAACCAAACTAACAATAGAAGTAGCTATTTAAAATTTATTATTACACCGTATATAGTTTTGTACAGAGTTTCTAAATCTCTATGGTACGTGTTAATCGTTTGTATTTTTAGTCTAGTTCTTTGCATTTATGTTATAGTTTGATTGGTAGTTTTCTTTTACTAAGTACAAGAATCTATTTCATGTTAAAAATAATCGATTTTTAATTGAGTCCCTAAATTTTTCATCACTATTTGATTCAATTAGCACCAATATATCTTGGTAAATGATAAATTTTTAAAGAGTAATTGGTCTTATAGTATTACGTTGAAAATGTAGTCGTCAGAATATGTGTTTAGTAGTGCATGTATGTCTCATATTAAGGAAAACCCAATAAATAACCAGAAAAAAAAAAGACAAAAACCGGCATAAACCAAATCGATGAAAAGTTGACTTAATTGGTTTGGTTTGATTCCAATATTCGAAAAAGCAACATACTTGATTTGGTTTCTTTTTACGAAAAAACGGATCCAAATTGAACCAGGAACACCCTATTTCTACTAGTCATACGTTTTCCAGCAGAAATTAAGGGTCGTCATATACTTATTAATTAGATACTAGTAATAGGTACAAGAAAGTAACTCGTTGAATATCTAAAAAATTTGCAGTATAAAATTATTGATTTTTTTTTTTTAAATCAAAAGCCGCCATTGTGGTGAGAGGTTAGGTATAAAGTATAAACCCTACCCGTCTATAAGCCTACTAATAAACCAGTAATGAAATACAAGAAGGAGAGGGATTGTAATTCTAATTTTCTCTGAAGTTACACTGTGGATGAATATAATCATCCTAGGCGTGTTCATAAAAATCCGAAAAATCGAACCAAACCGAAAACCAAACCAAACCAAACCGATAAAAAAAACCGATACTTTTTGGTTTGATTTGGTTTGGTTTTGGTTTTGAATTTTAAAAACCGATCAAATTTGGTTTGGTTTTGGTTTTAATAAAAAAAAACCAAAAAAAAACCGAACCAAACAAACTATAGGAGTAGCTATTTCAAATTAATTATTACACCTATATATATTTATATTTTTATACAAAGTTTCAAAATTTTTATGGTGAATGTTAATCGTTTGCACTTTTAGTACAGTTTTTTACCTTTATATTCTAGTTTGATTGGTAGTTTTCTTTTGTTAAGTGTAAGAATCCATTTCATGTTAAAAAAAATATATTTTTAATTGAGTCCTTAAATTATTCATCACTATTTGATTCAATTACCATCAATATATTTTAGTAATTAATAGATTTCTCAAAGGGCAATTGATTCGATAGTGTTAGGTTGAAAATGTGGTCGCCGGGATATGTGTTTGGTAGTGTATGTCTTATATTTAAGAAAAAGCCGACAAATAACCGAAAAAACCGTAAACCCGACAAAACCCGACATAAACCGAATTGAGAAAAAACCGACTTAATTGGTTTGGTTTGGTTCTAATATTTAAAAAATCGACTTACTTCGTTTGATTTCTTTTTAGGGGAAAACCGATCCAAACCGAACCATGAACACCCCTATAATCATCTCTTTACAAAAAAGATGGTTCCCATAATTTCCGAATGGTAGAAATTAGTGTCATGTGGTATATTCTGATTCCTTATATCATGTAACTGTTAAACAATATTATTTACTATTTGGACAACAATTAAATTTGTACGCGGTTTTAAGGATACGTGATTTGATTCAACACAAATAATTAAGAATATTAGATAGATGAATTAAAGACGAAATAAATGATCAAACCAATTGAAATGTTATGGCCAAACCTGAACTTAGATCGAACAGCGACCTCAACCTCAGTTCGAGCCCAATCGTGAATGAAGAACATCATAAGTGAACAAGAACTTTAACAATAGCTAAAAGGCAAAAAATAAACTTGTATTACTTTGATTTGCGTGTTACAGTGTGTCCAAGAAAAGAAAAACCTCTCATTTATATAGTAGGAGAGTTTTAGTCCTAATAGAAGTCTAAAAAAGGTAAAAATCTTCTTTTCCCAGTAATTGTTGATCCACAATCCACATCAAGCGAGATTCGCGTTGTGATATCCAATTGAGGGAGTATCATGGCCCTCTATCCGCCATGCACAACCGTTCATCGTGTCTCCCGAGGTACATAACTTATTACTTGGCCAGTGGTGCGTTGCTTTGCCACATTCGATGATGGATACATCGTACGCTCCCCCTGGATCTCGATACGAAGGGTCTCAGACCTGGATTACAATCTCGTGGATCCGTGTTCTCCCCTCGTTTCCTTGTCGGAAAATCGAGGTAGGCTTTTACCCCCGATTTTACCCGTACACGGATAGTCCCCTCGCTTTCTAGAGAGTAGGTTTGCCGAAATGACGAGAAGTGATAAATGGACCTCAGTTCCTTCCTTTGCACGTTCCAACCGAAATGACGGGCCAACAAAACGACTGATCAGTCGCGTCGTTCTGACTTTGGACACGTGTCAGCCGCCGGTTGACTGTCCTAAAATGCGAAACGTCGCGTATTGATTGTTCTTCCTTTATAAAGGCTCCGACCCTTCTTCACTTCTTTCACTTTCCGATTCCAAAACTTACCCTTGAATTCTCTAATTGCTTTTAACTCCTTCAAATCTTCATACATTCCCCTTAAACCTTCATATCTTCATCTTTAATCCTCATACATTCCCTTTAGATCTTCAAACCAGACCTTCATACCTTCATCCCATCTTCAAATCTTCATATTTTTTCTTCAAACCTTCATATTTCCCAGATTACGATGGCAAAAACTTCCAAGCTAGTGCCTCAACAAACTGCTCCTTCATCTTCCAACCCGACCACAGATGCCGAGGTGGCCATTCCCAAGGCGGCTCAAGAGCCCCCCTTGAAGAGCTTTGTACCTGGGGGTTGCTCTATCGGGAACAATTTCAACGTCGTGAAGGCCTCTAGTCAACAAGACTAGGCGAGGGAGCATGGAGATACATATGCTCCGTTACTGAGGAAACACTTCCCATAATCCGGGAGGACTGTAATGGGAGGGTAAGGAGGTGGTCGTTCTCGGGCCCAATGACGATATCACTACTCACGTGGATGGGTACTTAAGCGTAAATACTTACCCCTTCACGCTCGCCTCGGTGGACCCCATAGTCCTTGTCTTCTCTAAAAGGTAAGAAATGTGCCTTGGGTAAATCCTCTGATCCTTTTGGAGGATCGTAATCCTTTTACGACACTTCGTGAACAACAACGAAGCACCTCAGTTCACCCTCGACTATTTGTTTCGCCTATATAGTCCCTGAATCTTCCGAGGGGGGCTGATCAAGCTCATTCGCCGAGCAAGCAAGGCTCCGATCTCGAGCATCGACGAGGAACGAGACCGAGGCTGGCAGGGGAGGT